TTCTGGCTTAACTTTGTTAGTGCCGAAGCTATGCAGAATAATAAAAGATTCTTTTAGAGGAAAAAGCCTCAAAATTCTTTGAAAATCTGCTTTCTTTCGGAACCATGTCACTAGGTTTGCCACCAACCATATTGTGAAGTTTGCAGATGATACAAGAGTAGTGGGCCTTATTCAGGATGACAAGATGGGAACTTACTGCAAGGAGGTTGAGGGGTTGGTGAAGTGGTGTAAGGAAAACAGCCTAGTTTTAAATACCGGAAAAACCAAAGAGATCATTGTCGATTTCAGAAAAGGCAGGCACAGCCACACTTCTCTGTGCATTAATGATTCACCTGTGGAGATGGTTACCAGCATCAAATTCCTGGGTGTGGAGCTAACGAGTAGGTTGGCTTGGTCACTCAACAGTGAGAAACTGGTGAAGCGGGCACAGCAGCGCCTGAATTTTCTGCGTCACATGAGAAAAGCACACCTTCCTTCCCCTGTCCTGACCACTTTCTACAGGGGGACGATCGAGAGCATCCTGTCATACAGCATCACAGTCTGGTTTGGAGGCATCCCTGCTTCCGACAGGAAGGCGGTGCAAAGAGTGGTGAGGATGGCCGAAAAGATCATTGGCAGTTCCCTCCCTCCCATCCAGGACATAGCACAGAAGCGTTGCTTGAGCAGGGTCCGTAAGATCATCTGGGACACGACATAGCCTCTCCACGACTGGTTTTCCTTGTTACCTTCTGGGAGGAGGGGGCTTCATGGTATCCATAGCAGAACATCCAGATTCAGCCATAGTTTCATTCCATACAGCATTAACCTTGTGAACTCTCAAGCTTCCTCCTTCCGTTATATATTCAAGATGGGCAGTATTTAATATTTATTTGTTATGCATATGTAGGGGTGTGGATCTATACATATGTTGTATATAGTATGTTTAGGTGTGTGTCATGTATGTGTTTTACTTTGAGAGCGGGCAACTAAATTTCATTTTTGTTGTGTGCCGTTGTGCCCACAATAAAAAAAATGACAAGAAAGGTCATCTTATCTAGAATTAGAAAAATGGCAAAACTTGTGGGAAAAAATTATAAATTGATAATGGCAGCTTCTTATAAAGAAAATTTATATAAAATGTTTTATAGATGGCACTTGCCATAAACAAGATTGGCAAAAATGTTTAAAAATATGTCAGATAGATGTTGGAAACGTAAACATAAGTTAGGTACTTATTATCATGTATAGTGGACATGTGTTGAAGCAAAGAGGCACTGGAAAAAAAAATACATACTTGGCTAGAAAAGATGTTGGGAGAACATGTAGATTTTAAACCTGAACTTTTTTTTATTATGTATTATGCAAGGAAAGATTGATTAAACAAAGTATATATTTGATTTTACATGTGATAACAGCGGCAAGAATCATATTTGCACAATATTGGAAAAAGGAAGAATTACCATCAGAGGAAGAGATAATTAAAAAATATTAGAATGTGCAGAAATGGACAGACTTACTATGAGGTTGAAAGAAAAAGAACAGAATACTATCAAACTTGGTACTTTTTTTATCAATGGCTGGAGAAAAGAATAAAGGATTAAATTTGTATTAGTGAATGATAAACTCAGACAACATGTTGTTGAATAAACACTATGGAATTGTATGGAAAAAATTAATAAAAATTTTACAAAAAAAGAAAGATTGGTGATATTAGATGAGACTTGTACTTAGAGAGCATAAAAGCTTTGACAGAATATCTGGAGGGGAGAAACAAAATGGATGCTGCATACTCAACTAAAAGTGGTAAAAAAACATATCCTACATCTCCATTTGAAGCCCCCACCCAGGTTAATCAAGGATGCAGGAGTGATGCCTCAAGAAAAAACAAATACTTTTCTGAAGGAAATATATTCTATGCTACAGCTAATTCAGGTTTAGCAGTAATAGAAATTTAAATTAGAAATGGAATATTTTAAACGTACTATGCTATTTGAGGGAAATAAGAGGGACAGTGAATGTATTGAGTCGAGTTGTTTATATATGTTTCACTTTTGAATGTTTGATTACCCAAACACCACGGTGTGCCCTGAGTACTTTTTCTTAAGAATTAAAAAACCAATAAAATGTGTTTTTTTTTTAAAAAAAAGAAATCATGATGAGACTAAAAACAATCTAGCTAACATAAATGAGCAAATCTCTAATTTAAATCTACAACTAGAAAATTCCCAGATAACGACTACAAAGTATGAACAAATAACCTAGAAATCAGGAGAGGAAGCAGAGGAAATTGACCCAAAGATGGAAGAGATAAAAGAAGGGAAATATAAACTAGCATATACAAATAAAACACTGCAAGACTTAGCTACCATAATGAAAATGGAAAAGGCACATTACCCCTTAGGTCAGCAAAATATACTGGATGACAAGGAAGAAGATCTTTAAAAATGGACTATAGAGCTGGGAAATGTCAGAACTTGGGAGACAAAAAAATGAAAAGAGAAGCTGAGGCAGAAGGAACGTGGGAGTTTCTTAAGGAATATAATTGGGTGGAATTCCCCCTCAAAAATATCCCACCCCAATTGTCTTCCTCATTCCAAGCAATTTTCACAAAAATAGAAGGAACGTTTTTGGGCGATTTAATTGCCTTGGCCTGGAAAATTATTTGGCAAAGAAAGAAAGCGAGAGTTAGACTTAAACAACAGAAGATTTGATCTACCAGAGGGGACATAATATGATTAAATAAGAGAGTGAAAAACAGGATATTGATGTAACAAAGAGATTTTAATTTCAAACACAATTGAAATATAAATTGGCTAGAAAAGAGGTTATAAATTGATATTATTGTTATTTGTATAATATTAGAAAAATATGATGAGGATGTTTATATTTAACTTTGTATGCACCAACAGTAGCAAAAATTGTAATTGTGTAATGTAGTGAAAACAAATTGGGGAAGAAAAGAGGATCAGAGGAAAAACACTGGATTGTGCAGTATTGAATAGATTTATATTGAATAAATTAAAGTTAAGTATGTGAACCTAGACAACATATTGTTTACTAAGCACTAAAGACTGTAATTGTTAAAAACCAATAAAAGATTTTTTTAAAAAAAGATCAATGTGGCTTTTTGCCTAAAAGACCCCTGAGGGGTAATATAATCAATATATGCAATATAATAAAAAACAAGCCGTGTTGATATTTCTTGCTGTGGAGAAAGCATTTGCCAATTTGAATTGGATTTTTTTTGTTTAAATTTTTTGGAAACAATGTATTTTAAAGATAATTTTATCAAATGAGTAAAATCGACACATAACTCACAAATAGTAAATGGTAAATTGACTTAACCTTGTGAGATACACAAATGAACAAGACAAGCCTGGTTGCTTTCACAGCTGTTGTTCACTTTGGCTTTGGAAGTTCTTACGAGAGGTAAGATGAGAGAATAACTGGGGTGAGAGTAACAAAACAGTTATATAAAATAGAAAGCATTTGCAGTTTGGTTTTAATAGTTGATCATTCCTTGGGGGGAATAGAAATATTATTGGAAAAACTGAAATAATTTGGTTTAAAATTAATGAAGAAAAAATTAAAATTTAACCAAAAATATGAGCTGATAGGAAAGACACCCCAAAGGTGGTTTTTCAGTCATCTGGTCGTTAGTGCTCTCACCAGGACCAGGTTTCTACTATGATTCTGGACCAGGAGTATCTCAGAAGTGCAGGTGGCTCAGAGAGATGAGTTAAAAGGGGCAGGGAAGGGCGGATCTGAATGGCTGCAAGTGAGCACCATGTCAGTTCGGAGGTACAGAAACGTGGATATTTTCCTTCAGAGCCATCAGGCATTTGAAGGAGCCACGTCCTTCTTCTTCCCATGATCCTGTGCATTTCTTGCATCAAGAGGAAGAAGATGGCGCACAATGCACAGCCAAGGCTTGGGCAAGAACTGAAAGTTAAATGGAACACGGCTAGGATGTCTGGAGACAGAGTGCAAAAACAGATGGCTCCTTCAGCCCATAATATTTCTTCATTTCTTGCCTGAGACAGGATGAGGGGTTGCTGCAACCTAGTGCTCCTCTAGTTCCGGATTTTGCGTGCAAAACCATTTCTGCATTCTTCTAAAGCATTTCCCGTGAGATGAAGGAGACTTAGCATATCGTAAGATTTTTAAGCTCAGGCTCCCATCCTCAGAGCCTGGCTTTGTCAAGCCCTGCACTTCCACAGGTGGGAGAAAAAGGCTATGTTCATAGGCAGCTTTGCAGGACTGGCGATCTCTGCATAGTCTCCTCTTCTTCCTTTGTCCCATTGTTTCTAATGGACAGCACTTTATGTCTTCACCAAATCACTGTCCTCTATTATTTGTGTGTTTCCAGATTTGGCTGGCTACTGATGTAGTTGTGCAAATTCTGGTGCCAAAGAACTAAAATTGTTTTTTAAAAAGTATTATGCTGCTTCCTTTAGCAAAATGTGATTGTTTCTGCCTTATTACTGACTTAACATACTTAAATGTTTAGTAATTAATTACTTCTTCTTAGGCTATAATTTTTCCATTTCTGGTTATATATTGTAGACAAGAATTGCATTTTTTACAATACAATTAAACCAATAGATTAAGTCCAATCCCTTTCCCTGAAGGAATCTAATAAATTGAGGGGAAATTAATCATCTTGAATAGGAAATCTAACTCCTCTACACGGAAAAAGTTGTTAATTAACCTTGGAAAAATTCTTTGCTGAACAGGAATTATACACTGTAGAAAAATCTCTTTAATTTTGCTCCTAGCTAATTGCAGTATTACAACATCTACTTAGAAATATAAACAGTGCTTAGCTGTAAATATTTAGAGATTTTCCCCTAGGAAGCCACTGCTGAAATATTGATAATGGGTGCACAATTCAGAATAGTTGTAATGCAGCAAACAATCAGGAAGTCTTTCCCTTTTCAACCAGAATGTTTGACGCTTGTTCCGCCTGGGAACATGAGAGGCAGCTTCCCCAGAGCAAAAGTGGCCTTCAGCACACTCACCATTGACCCATTCACAAGTAGCACTCCAGTCGCTCCAGGTTTCCCCCCAGAGTTTCAACCCATAGCGGACACTCGCTTCATAGGTGGAGTGTGACTGGAGGTTGTCTGCAAATATGGTATAATGGGATGAGTCCTCTGGAACAATGATTTTCTGGAAAGAGAAAAACACAGGTCAGCACATACACACAGCATCAGCAGCAGCACGTGAAGGAGATAACTTTGAGGGAAGTAGGCAAGACCTGTTAGCTTGGCAAAGAGGGCTGAAACATTCCTTAAGTCTTGGGATGCAAGATAACATTTGGAAGAAGCTGATCCACTGGGATCCAAGGAGGAGGGGAGGTTGAGCCCAATCAGATCAGAAGATTGTCAGTCAAAGCAGCTTTTGCTTTCCTCTGGAATTGATCCCCTGGGCTGATCTGTCTTAGGGGGCTCACACACAGTGCATAGCCTGAATCCTGAAGTGGCTCCTTTCTATTTCTCCCAAATTCTAAGCAGGCCAAGGAAAGGGCCACAAACACGGTAAGCTCTTTTGGAAGACGGCTGCTGAGGCTATGGGGCCTCGGCCAGGGCCGGAAGAAGGGAGGGGCCTGTTGGCTTCTAGGATCTGGCAGGTAATGGAGTTCAATGCATGTGCCTTATTATTTTATACACGTATATCTTACATGGATTTTTAACATTCTCTTAGCTTTTAAAAATGTTCTGAAAAATTTCCTAGTCAGCCCTGCCTACCAATAGCAGGGCGATCCTTAGCCCATGCAGACATTTGAAGAACAATTTGACAACAGAAAAAGTTGTCAGAGGCCTCCTACCTTGAAATACCTGAGCCTGCTTTCTTTTCAAAGAATAGACTGTCTCTGGCTGAAGGCTAGACTTGAGGTGCTGGGCGCCGACCTAATTTAGGAGCACGTGAACCCTCCCTTTGAGGTGTTGCCCATGAAGAACAGGTCACTTGTAAGCTCCTGCTGGCTCAGCATTAAATTTACAGAAAGTCCGGCTGTCCTCTTATGACTGCTGAGGGAGCAACTCGAAGTGACACGACGTTCGGTTTCCAATTATCCATCAGATCTGCTGCCCTCAGCCCTAGAAAGGGGGATTGAGGCTCGCTTACCTCTTCTGTATGGTTTTGGCGCCAATAGGCAACCTCATACTTCGCTGCAGGATTGTGAAGTGTGTTGGATGGACTGTAATCCCTCTTCCAGGTAAGGATGAAAGTGCGGTCGTTCCTCTTCTCCACCCTCAGGTTGATCAGGGGCCTGGGCTTCACTGGGATGGTGAAGAAGCAGAGGAGGACACTGAGTTGGGGAGAGGCGAGACAAAAGGCATCTGGGGAGGGAAAACCCTGAAGGCAGGCACTGGGTGGGGCAAGGAGGACAGCTCAGAGCCTCTCGGTACCTTCCCTCTTTTTTCCATTTTGGGGACTTTTATCCTAGTGTTGGAGGGAGCCCCACAGTGGCTCCTGCCCTCTGTCTTTTAGACGCCCAGGTTCTACTTCCCACCCAGCCCTCCTAGACCCCCCTCCATTCAACTGAGAACTCCCCAGGCAGAAGAGGAAGGAGGCTTCAGATATCAACCATTAGGACATCACTACAGAATTCTTTGTCCGGGAAATAAACACAACTGCCATTCTGGAAGCAGAGTCGAGAGAGGAACTGAAGGGTATTCTCTACCAATGTACCCAGCCTTGCAAATGAACTCTGCCCACCTCCTTTTTTCTATCCAGCATCTCCATCGTGCCAACAGATGCCCCTTTTGCCACCTGAAACCAAAGCTGCTGTGACTTAGGACAGTCCCAGGGTGGAAAGAGATTTTCAGGAAAAGCCAAGGGTAGCTCACCAATGGACTCCATTTTCAAGCTCAGGTTGCTCCAGACCTTGGCACTGTTCTCTGTCCTGGCCAGTGCTAAGTGATACGTGACTCCTTTGAATTTCTTCCCCGGAATCTTGCAAATACACAGGGAGGCAGCGCCTGGGCCCCGCTCGTTCTCCAGAGGGCACTCCTGTGGCTTCCTGGAAAAGGGGCAAGAGAGTCCTTAGAGCACACAACCCTTTGTTCATTTCTGCACAGCCAAAGATGGTCTGCAGAGTGCCAAATACCCTCACACTCCCCGGGTTGCAGAGACGCCTCCGTCCACGAAAGGAGCAGCAGCTCTGAAACTTGGGGGCCGGAGGGCAAGGCGTGCTAGGCAGACCCACAAAAGAGACCAGGAGAGAAATTTTGCTCCTGAGACACGTTTCTCCCTCTTCACTTTTAGAAGCCAAGGATTTGTGCCTGACCAGCCTGGTGTTGCAGGTGTTACTGATGACAGGCAATGTTGAGGCACAGCAGATTTTGCAGGTAGTAGCCTCACTGGCCTACTGGAGGCAGCCCACTTACCATCTCAGGATCATCTTCCCCAGCAGGGAATGTGGGAAGCACAGCCTGAGAAAATGTGGGGGTGGTTAGCAACCTCTCTAGGTCTGCATTATCCATGATGCCTGGGAAGATTTCTTCTCAAGAAGGTAACAGTAACAATATAACGGAGCTAGAAGGGACCACCAGACCCTCCTTACCAGATTGAACAAGCTGAGTTGGTCCACCCTACTCATTTTGTGACCAGAACCATTCACGACTGCTGAATGAGACAGGCTCTGGATGCCTCTCTGCCTATAAAAGATCTTGCAAAGCCACCCCAGAAGTCATTCCCCTATGTTAACCATCCAGGCGCTCTCTGAAAGGGCTCCACTGGGCCAATGAGAAGGTGCCGGGGAGGGGTCTGTCTCCTCAGGGCTACCACAGTACCTTACAATCCTACCAAAAAGCTAATTTGGCTCTGCCAAATGGGAGAGCTAAAAATCTCATGAAGGAACTAAAATTCTGCCAGAAGAAACAACAAGAAGAAACAAGAATGACTTAACACCCTCTTGAGGACATGTCAGCATCATTAGAAGAGTGTGATCCTGTCAATGGCCTAAATCAACTCCCTGTGACAGTGTGAGCGTGGATGGAGGAAATTGCATAGCTACTCCAAGCTCTTCGATTGACCACTCGGTTCCCCAGTCCCTGCAACTATGAGAGTCCCTGCTTTATAACAGATCCCACACCTCCAATCCTTGAACAGAGGACTGTTGTACCCGTCAGCACAACACACAGCTTTGCTAATACTTACGTTGCAAAATTTGCCTGGTAGAGTAGTTTAAACTCCATGGTGCAGTTGGTGATGGCACCCACCTCCCAGCGACAAACCAGTTCAGTGGCAAAATCAGTGAGGCACCTTGGCTGGACATTCTTTGAAGACGCAACTAGGAAAGTACAAAAGAATAGTGAGGAAGCTGATATTATCATGGTTCCCACAGACAGAGATGAATACAGCAGAACTCCAAGGCTTGAAAATTCCTCAAAGAATAAGTTTATTAGGTACAAAGTATCGGCATGGTCAAAAGTGAAACCAAGTCTGAATATACAAGTAACAATTGCCCAATTACAAATTTTCATGTCCCACCCACAAAACTATTCAAGCAACTACATCCCCCAATATACTCATTTGGTTGGCTTTTTTATGCAACACCCAGTCCCTGGTCATGGGAGCAGTAGATGACCTTGGTTCCCACGGGACAGAAAATTATTTTGACTAATGAAGCACTTGGGCAATCCCCTTCCTCTGTTCAATGTGGCAATCTAGAATGAGAAGAGAAAATGGCTGCAGCCATGCTCATTGTAGAGTTGGCAGTTGGCCCTCTTAAAAAGAAAGAGCCTCCTGGAGGGGGAACAAAAAGCATGTTAAGTATTTCTTTGAGGCTTATAAGGATATTTGTCGTAAATTTTTTTTATTAACCTGTCTGCTTTCACATTTGTACATTTCACCCATGTAGTTTCTGACAGTGGATAGTCTTTTCACTTAACGAGGTATTGTAACTTCCCCTTGTACAACCTAGAATCAACAATTCATTTTATTTCATAATGTGTTTCCCCCTCTACCACTATTGGACACGGCGGCTTCTTTGGAATAGGTCTTAAAGAGGATTCAGACACAGGTTTCAACAGACTACAATGGAACACAGGGTGGACTTTCCCCAAAAGCCATGGAAGCTTTAACTCCATGGTAACAGGATTTATGATTTTGGTGATAGGAAAAGGGCCCAGAAACTTTGGCCCCAATTTTTTGCTGGGTAACCTCAATCTCGAATACTTAGTTGAAAGAAATCTTTTCCCCAACATAAAATGGTCTTTGAGGGGAGCATTTCTTATCAGCCTGCTCCTTAATCTTAGCAGCTTGGATTAATGCTTTTTTGACATTGGTCCAAACACTTGGGAAGGAGGTCTCTCACTGATCCAGAGTTTGAGAAGCAGGTGGCTCCTGGGGGTATTCAGGTATAGGCACAAAATCCCTCTCGGTAGCTATCTTAAATGATGTAAGACCAGCGCTACTGCGCACAGTATTTTTATAGGCTACTTCAGTGAAAGGCAAAAGATCGGCCCAGTTAGTCTGCTGGTAATTAACATAGCATCTGAGGTATTGCTCCACCATTGAGTTTGTACATTCAGCTGCCCCATTAGTACTTGGATGAAAAGCTGATGAAAGCCCCTGAGTAGACCCAATAAGCTTAATGAACTCCCTCTAGAACTTCGCAGTAAATTGAACCCCCTGTCCAAAACAATCCACTTAGGAGCTCCGTAGAGCTGATAGATGTGCTTCAAAAACATCTTGGTCAGTTTCTGAGCAGAGGGAAGCCCTGAACAAACGATGAAATGAGCTTGTTTGGAAAATAGATCAATCACAGTCCATATTACAGTATTCCCCTTGCTTTCAGGCAGGTCCACTATAAAATCCATAGCTATTTCTTCCCAAGGCTGGGAAGGGTAAGCTACTTGCTGCAGGACCCCTGGAGGCTTCCCAGGACGTTTCTTCATAGCAGTGCAGGTGGCACAGCTTTTCACATAACTCTAGATGTCTTTTTTCATGCCTGGCCACCTAAACTGCCTTCATACCAAATGTGACATTTTCAGGAACCCAAAGTGACCAGATTGCTTTGCATCATGGCTGCGCTGAAAGGCCTTGATCCTGAGGCACTCAGACAGTTCAGCTTAGAACCCTTCCAGGCTAGCCCTCCCTGAAGGGTTAATAGAGATTTATTCTCCTTGAACCAAGTGTCAGTCTCTAATTGGTCCTTGAGTCTTTTCAGTCAGCAGTCATTAGGACCAGTGGATTGCTTTTGCAATTGAGTTCTAGTGGTTATTTGTGAGGCAGATTGCAATAAAGGAATGATAGAATTAATGATTTCCTTTTGGTGGCATTTGCACTGAGGCATCCTAGACAAAGCCAAAAAATTCTTACCCCCTGAAAGATACTTTAAGGTGAAATTGAAATGATTGAAGTATTGAGCCCACCAGACTTGTTTAGGGAATAATTTACAGGGGGTTTTCAGAGCTTCCAAATTTTTGTGATCAGTCCACATTTCAAACTGTATCTCCCCCCCCCTTCCAAAAAGTGGTGCCATGTCAGTAATGCCCATCGTACCGCAAAAGCCCTCTTCTCCCAAAGGGCCTACCTACTCTCTGTGTTGGTTAGCTTCCGGGAAGTATAAGCGTAGGGTTGTAATTCCCCCCGTGATTTTTTTGTAAGAGGACAGCACCCACAGCCACATCACTTGCATCGGCTTGAATGATGAATTGCTTTTCAGGATCAGAGTGCTTGAGATCAGGTTTGGCTACAAAGAGTCTTTTTAGTTTCTTGAATGCAGCTTGACACTCTAGGGACCATGGCAATGGCTGACAAGGTTAGGGTTCCCCCCCTTTCCCTGTTTTCAATAAGTTGGTTATTGGCATGGCTATTTTCACGAAAGAGGGGATAAATTGGCGGTAAAAATTAGCAAACCCCAGAAAGGTTTGAAGTTGTTTATGGGTGCAAGGGGGCTGTCATTCCAATACAGTTTTCACCTTTGCAGGATCCATTTCTATCCCCTCATTTGAAAATTGGTACCCTAGATAGTCAAGGCGTGTTTGGTGAAACTCACATTTAGATAGCTTTGTGTATAGTTTAGCCTTCAGTAGTTTCCTCAGCACTTTGCGGACCAATTTAAAATGCTCTTCCATAGTCCCAGTGTAAATTAAAATGTCATCAAGATAAACCAAAACTCCCTTATATAGATGGTCATGGAGCACCTGGTTGATTAACTGCATAAATACAGCAGGAGCTCCTTGTAGTCCAAAAGGCATCACTTTAAACTGAAAGCTTCCCGAGGGCAATTGAAGGCGGTTTTCCATTCATCTCACTCCTTAATCCGGACTCGGTAACAAGCCTCCCTTAAATCCAACTTTGTAAAAACTTTCTCCTTTGCCAGGTGGACTAACATATCCTTCATCACGGGAAGGGGGTACATATTTTCTATGCTGACAGCATTTAATCCTTTAAAATCTACACATACTCTCAGCGACCCATCCTTCTTTTCTTTGAACAATACAGAGGCTGCTGCACATGATTTGGCTGGTTGGATGAAACTCTGAGCCAGGTTCTTATCAATGTACTCTCTTAACTCTTTCATCTCTCTGGGTGCCATTGGGTACATTTTTGGCTTTGGGAGCTTGGCTCTGGGTATAGTCCATAGCCTGGAGAGGGGGGAGGACGTCACACTCTTTCTGACTAAACGCCTCAGCTAAATCACAGTATTCGGTTGGGACAAGCTGGATTCCTGACAGCTTCTCGACAACAGCCTTTAGTGTTTCAGGGCGCTCTTCCTGAGCCTCATTTATGGTATAGTCTTTTGTAGCACTGATGGTGGCAGGATGGAAGGGACCTACCCCCAACCTTAAATTCCTCACTCCATTCTCCCACAAGATGGGTGCCACTTATTGAGCCAGACCAGACCCAAAATCAAAACCTCAGTCATTTTTGGGATCACCACAAAATGGATGATTTCCCAGTGCTGACCCATTTCCAATCACACTGGTTCTGTCAGGTGTGTGGCAGGTTCACCACTGATAAGGGATCTCTCAGCTTGTTCAAACCTCATGACTAGGGGTAACAGCCTTGCCTCAATCCCCAGCTTGAGCACCGTGGGCAGATTAATTAGGCACCTGGTGCAACCTGAGTCTATTAACATGTTTAAGTCCATTTGGGCCCCGGTTTTGGGTACTATTTTCTTGGCGGCAATGGCAAAAGGTGGGATGGGTTGACTTACCATCAGACCCTCCTCGCCTTCCTCATCACTGTCATAGGGCATCAGCATCTTGAATGGCTCTGGCTGGGCTCTTGCCTTGGGCTCGGCAGGAGGGGGTTGTCAAGCCCTCCAGGTTCGACATAAACAGGTGGGGGAGGGCGAGGATGGCACGCAGGGTGAAGAACGTTGGCAGCAACCCACCCACCTCCAGTCAGCCAGAGCTTCCAACAGCTGATCAGCTGGGATGTGGCCACATGCCAGCTGTCCTTGGAGGTGTTCCCCGACCCGCCAAACAGCTGACGGGCTGCTGAGTCGCCGGGCCGTTGGGGAGCCATCTTTGGAGCTGCACCGACCCGCCGAACAACTGACAGGCTGACGGGCAATCGGGGAGTCATCTCTGGAACTGCGCCAGTCTGCTGATGAGCCGATAGACAGTGGACGGACCTGGTCTCACCAAAACAGTGTGCAAAGCGGCAGAGGGGGTGTTTGGAGCTGGCAGGGGCGGGGAGAGCTGAGAGCCGGCTGGGATGCGGCCGCGGACAGCTGAGGCGAAAAGACTGATGGGCGTTGCTGCCAGCCATTTGAGGCTTCATGGCCGGTTGCTGGTTAGATGGGCGGGGGCATGTAAATACAGCACTGTGTATGCATGTAAATACAGCACTGGGAGGCAATTGCTCCCAGCATGGACTTTGAAAGCGGTGTACCTTTGAACTGCATGCCGAAGATTCCTCTCAGTAAATTGAAAGCCACCTGTGAACTGATCAACTCTGAGTCTTTCTTGCCAGGGGCGAGGTAGGATGTTTGACAGGGGTGTCCAAAAGCTGGGTCCTGCCGTGCACAGTTTGTCTTCTCTCTTCCTCCTCTGGGAGCTTTCTTTGGCTTTGTGGTGGCAATTGGTGCATTTCTTGGTGGGGGTTTGGGAGCCAGGCATTCCATAGCATCGATAGCACTTGATATGACCCCTGGCTGATGCTTGGTGGTTGTAGTGGCCTGGAAACATTGGCCCAAAAGGCATTTCTCCTGCATGTGCTGTGGCTTCAGTTTGGTCAGTCCAATTTGATGTCCAGCATTATTTGTAGTAAGTTGTGGTCTAGCCTCTGCTTGAAGTAGTTGATCAATGATCATTCCGGCCACTGTCCCAGCTG